TGGGGGGGTGGCGTCCGCTGGTCACGTTGGTCCGGAGGTGCTGGAGCAGCCCTGCAGCATCCCAGCATCTGGCATCGGCTCCACTGGAAACCGCTCAGGAGAGCTGGAGCCAGGTATCCCAGAGAGGCACACGGTCACGCACCACACGCCAGAAGGTAATCGGAGATGGTCTCTCCGGGCTGCAACTGCTGGATGTCCTTTGCAGACGGCGTAATGCCCCTTCTGCAGCCTGCGTGGCTCAGGGCAGCGTGCCTTGCCCTTGAAGTCCACGCTGCGCTTTTATGGCCCCCCCAGAGGAAGGCAGGGAAGTGCTAGCAGATGCGTAATTTCCCCAAGGACGGTGTGTGGGCTCTACCCTGGACAGCTAAATAAATACTTGGATGTCTCCTGCACCGAGACTTGTTTGTGTCTCTGAGGCCAGGGTGCAACGTGTGGTGGGGTGTGTGCAGTTCCTGTTGGGTTTGGTGTGTGGCTGCTCCAGCGTTGGTTTTAAATGTGACACTGATAATGCGGGCCGCCAGCCCGCTGCTGGCTTCCAGTTCCGTCTCGCTGCCTCTGTCTCTTTTATGTTCTCTGCTGCGGTTTGCAAGGCAGAGTTTAAAGGTTTCTCTGACTAACCCTGGCTGCCGGAGTCAAAGGGAAGGAAGTCAACTGCAGCCAAGAAAAGGAAGCCAGTTGGTTTCCCTTCTGCGTCTGCGAGCGCGTGTGAGGGGGAGAGGGAGCAGGGTGTAGCCAGATCAGAAATGAGATAGGACGGGAAGACAGCAGACCTCTTTCCTTCCATATTTTCTTGGCTCGACAAGCTCCCTGCGTGCGTCAGCCCAGAGCACGGAGAAAGGAAGCGTGTCCTGGTCAATATTTTCCCGGTGGCGTGGGGCAGCGTGCTTCAGCTTCGGCTGCCGGTGGGCTGTGTGCTTCTGGCTCGCTCCCTGGCAGTGCAGTGCGTGAAGGCAGCCACGACGGGGAGCTTCCTTCCCGCAGGATGGCGGGTGCTGGCAGGGCAGGGTAAGGGGCCCTGCTGCCCTCCAGCCTCCGGGGCAGGAGCTGGGTGCTGGTCCCCGGCTCCCTGGAGCACACGGTACGGCACCTCAGCCCCACCGAGGAACCCCAGGGCGGTTGTAGAGTATGTGGGTCCCTCTCGGTTCCCGCAGCACCTACGTGGCTGGCCATCTCCAGTTTGGGGTCTACAGCAGCCTGGTGACCCAAGGGGTGGCTGGAGGCTCGGGGCAGCGCTGGCCCCCCTTGGGGCAGCAGGGCTGGAGCTGGGCTGGGCTCACGCTCGGGGGCACTGTGCTGCCGGCAGCTACTTCAGGGCATCTATTTCTGGTCCCGGGGACAGGGGAGGACATGCAGTGGGAGGCAGCCTCCGGGACTCGCAGGAGCTGAGGGCTATTTCTGGCTCTGGTTGCTGACCCGCCAGGCCACCCTCAGCCAGTTGCTTCCCCTGTAACTCCCTCGTGCCGGGCTCACCTGAGTCTCTGACCCAAAGCTCCCTCTGCCACCTGCACCAGGTGCTCCTGGGTGGCAGGGACGGCCACCATGCAAAGTTTGTCACAAGACCATGACACTGGCTGTGATCTTTTGATGTACATCTGCAGTAGACTGGCAATAAGAGCCCTGGGAGCGCTATCAATAGGCAAGCAATGCCCCTGAGGATGTTTTTGTCACCCTAGAAATGGGTAACCTACAGACAGAGGCAAAGGGGTAGGTATGTTGATAAAAGAGCAGTCATTGCCATCCAGATGTCACGCTCCGCTTCTGCTAAAGGCTGTGAGCTCTGGGCCCCTTCTCTGCTGGCTATCCCACGGAGCAACCCCAGGCAGAGGGCATCAGGAGCAGTGGGCATCAGGAGTGGTCCCAGAGCCCCCAGAGGCTGTGGGACAGGAACACATTGGCTGGCACGCTCACATCTTCCCCACCAGCTTCTATATATGGGCCTGCCCTCTCTGAACCCATCACACTCGGATCTCAAGTGACACGCTGGGGAGGGAGGGGGGGTGTGTGTGTCTATTTTTAGCCTCTGAATGGAGCTGTGCTGGAGCCGAGCTCTCTGCCCCCGTCAAGGGTACAGCATCATGTTGTTCTGGGAGGATTTTCCTGCGTGGCTCTTTGAATGGCTCCATCACCGGCTTAGATTGTGGTACAGGTAGGATGCAGCTTTGTGGTCTCTCTGTTTCTTCTCTTGCTGCTGGATCCCCCCTGCTGGTTTTGGGCTCTGTGCATCTCCCTCCCCAGAACCACGGGTTGCTCGAGAAAATAAATCCCCCACATTTTAAATGGGCTGTAGGCAAAGGGAGTAGGAAAGGGGTATGTGAGGTGCGATGCTGCTGTGCTGCTCTGGAGAGAACCCCAAACCTGCTGTGCTGCTGGGGAGCAGAGGCAGAAGGGACCTGAGGGGGGGTAGTAGTGGTTTCTCACTGCTGGCTGGTTTATGGTCCAGCACAGCGATACCGAAAATAAATCCCCCACATTTTAAATGGGCTGTAGGCAAAGGGAGTAGGAAAGGGGTATGTGAGGTGCGATGCTGCTGTGCTGCTCTGGAGAGAACCCCAAACCTGCTGTGCTGCTGGGGAGCAGAGGCAGAAGGGACCTGAGGGGGGGTAGTAGTGGTTTCTCACTGCTGGCTGGTTTATGGTCCAGCACAGCGATACCTGTCCTGCTGAGACTGCCCTTGCCTCCCACTGATTTCAGCTGGAAATGAGTGAGGATGAGTGAATGCAGATGGCCGGGAGGCAGAGCAGGAACCTGGGGGGAGAGGGTTAGGGGCACACACCTCGGCTATGTCTGTTGATGCTGGTGCCCCCTCCTCATGCCCTTATCTCTCTGGCTCCCTCCCCTTGCTTTGCGGCTGCAGGCATGGATAACTTCGAGTACAGCATCCAGCTGAACGACAGGGACTGGGCTGAGTTCTTCTTGGCGTCAGAGGAATGCAACCTAGCACCGGCTGCCCTGGCCACGGCCGAGGAGCAGTGTCTCAGTGACATTGAACAAGGGGACAGCGTGCCGGGGAGGGACTGTCACGCCAGCACGAATGGGCAGATCGCAGCGAGGGTGGGCAGCAGGCCAGGGCCTGGCACGGGAAGCTCTGCCCCACGTGGGGTGCCCAGAGACGCCTCCCTGTGCTGGCCGGCCGGTGGGCACCTCGCCCTGCCGGAGCTTCTCTCGGGCAGCGAGGACGAAGCGGACCTGGGCTCGGTCAGCAGGTTTCTCTGCGAGAGCGACAAGCCCGGCTGCCCTTCGTCTGCTCCAATGCCCAGCGCACAGGGGAGGCAGCCCCCCTGTCCCCCCGCAGCCACCCTTGCCGGCCCCGCTGGCGGCCCGACCGCAGCCCAGGGCAGGACACAGCATGTGAAGCAGCAACACCGCAGCCGGCATCGGCATCGGAGAAAGGAGCAGCCAGCAGCAGTCAGGCCATGGACCCCCCCAGCCAGCCAGCTGGA